GAAATATCAATTCCTAAACTATAATTTTCATGTAATTATTAATCGGTACTACATATGAAGTAGAGTAAATTATAATTATCCATCTTTTCGGACTCATCTCTTCTAACAATTGCTTGTTTCTTTATACCATTAAAAATTTGTTACATAATTTTAAATAAATGTCACTTTCTGGAAAAAAAATTAAATAAATTTCTCCTCAATTATTATAAACATTTGCAGAAAGCAGAGTAACTACTCTAGAGGTTCTTGTAAACGGGGAATAAATTGTTTTTTATCAACATACTTTCGTACTTGCCAAATAAAAACATCTAGAGGATATATGGCACTTTTTTTCTGACAGCTTGGAGAGTTTTTTTGCATTCATTCAAAAGGTGAAATACATAGACATACTTCCAATTGCAAAAGAAATTTCTAAGATTTTAACTGGCTGATGGAGTTTTTTTCATTCATTCAAAAGGTGAAATACATAGACATACTTCCAATGGCAAAAGAAATTTCTAAGATTTTAACTGGCTGATGGAGATTTTTGTTTGATTGAAGAGGACAATGATGAGATTTATGAGGATATTAAATATAAAGAAGGAAAATAAAAAATAAGAAAGTATTGAATATCACAATCTTCTTTGCCAGTACAGAACCTTTCTTTCTTATGTTATTACTTCATGGTTAACAATTTGTGCCAGAAGGATTCAATGGAAATGTGACAAGAAATTGCATTGAGCATGTTCAATTTTGAGTACCGCATTACAAAACACCACTTAAAATCATATTAACTACTGACTTTTGACATGTTTATATATATATATATATATATATATATATATGGTCTCTACTATATATACAAGTATATGTAGTGACCTGCCAACAACTTCTTGTAGCATGCTCGTATGGATGGATGATGCAGAGATTTCTGACTTTTGACATGTTTATATATATATATTTATATATATATGGTCTCTACTATATATACAAGTATATGTAGTGACCTGCCAACAACTTCTTGTAGCATGCTCGTATGGATGGATGATGCAGAGATTTCACCCTTGGGAAGATCACCCATGTACACAATGTATACCTGCAACCACAAAATTATCAATTCTAAATAATTCTATCAGCACTGACGTTTCTAAACCAAGATCAAATAATTAATCTCCATATGTGTGTGGGTGTCAATGTTGCTTCAGAATTGGTTCTTTAAGCACCATATCAACCTTTTTTATTTCAACCAGAGAATAGCATGATCCATTTAAGCATGGTAGATCAAAGTCCTAAGGCAAAAACAAGTAATATTTTGTGCTAGTTATTCAGCATTGCTATAGTATATTAGGTTCAGTCCAAGACCTAATCTTAAATAAGAAGAAAGCTAGAAGAAGCTATTCCAAGCCAAAGGCCTGTAATATAGCGAGCACAATGTAGGATAAAATTAATATATATATTTGGTATCATCCTCGAAACTGAGATATACCGCAAGATCAATAATTTAATACGAGGTCTCACTATCTTGGTCATACAAAAAATGTAATCTTTATCGATGAAGTTTGTTGATAATGCAACTAACAAGAGTTGTTCATGGCATAACCAAGCTCTAAAAACCTTAAAAGCAATATGAATCATAATATAGATATATACATGCCTTCTGATCTGCTCTGATGCAGCTAATAAGCAGAGCACAAGTAATGCTAGTCAGGATGAGCCATGAAGCAGAGGTTTGACTAGCCATTAGAGGGGTGTCTCAAAAGCTTGAGCTCTTTTGCAGATATTTCCATGCAACTAACGAAGAATGGGATTTTATAACATGAAAAAAGCACATGTGGAACTAGTTCTCCACACATCGGTTTCTCAAGCTGAAATTGTTATACCCGCCTAACAAGAAAACCCGTCCAAAGCCGGCTTTAACAATGTATTTGTCTGAATTTTTATTTGTCTGAATTTCTCCTACAGAAAGTGATAAGAAAGTACCAATGATTGACTTTTTCCATATCTTTCAAATAGAAAATGATATTTGTAGCTGGAACATTATGTCCTCTTGTAGTTTAGAAAACTGGAGGGTTGGATAGACACATTTGGCATACACAAGCTAAGTCGTCATTGGTCATTTGACTTGGTTAATATGGAAATAGCCAATGCTTTGTGCAATGAGAAAAGGTTGAGTTGATAAATTTGATGAGGCAAATTCAAGTCTTAGAGTCGTCATTTTTATACAAAATAAAGTAGGCTTTCTCTCCGATAACCCACATCTTTCTCGAATCTTAACTTTTTTTGGAAGTTCGAGTTCGAGCTGGCTCTTGCAGCATAACTTCATTGATTCATGAAAGTAAAATACACTCCTACGAGTGACTTTGAGCTTGGGGACAACAACGCTGACAAGCGCAGCCAATTCACGATTTTCAAACACGTTTACAAAATTACGATGACATAAATGTCAACAATCTCTCCACTAGGTGATCTGGGAGAGAACAGAAAGGTAGAGGGTTCTCTCCCAAAATATTGGGACAATTCTTTGTTCAGAATATATATATATATGGATTGTTTAAATTACTCAGATGCTTCCATTTATGATTAATGGAAGTTTGAAACCGAAAATGTAATGTTAAAAGAAAAAAAATAAATAAATAAATTTGGAGGGGGGCCCACCATCACCCATTTTAGTGGTCATGAGACCATGTTTGGTCTCATATTCATTCTCTCTCCCGTAAGTTTTCTCTCACTCTCTCATTCTTGGTTTTTCTGTTTTCTTTTTTCTTTTCTTCACCAAATTCTGTGATGTTTTCAAATTTTCACCATTTTTCATCTTTCCAAAAATTTTGTCACAGTAAGGGCATTTTCTTCTTTTGCCATTTTTCGTACCGGACACTGTAGAGTGTGCCGGTTGTGTCTAAGAGTTGTTTTGGGTATTTCATTGAGTGCAGGACTTTTTGAAATGTAAGAGTGGTCATTTTCGCATTTTTTTATTTTTTGGGCCGGACGGTCCCGTGTGGGACCCGTTACCAGAATTGTTGTGCACAGGGATTTTAATTGGGTTCATTTGCATCATATCTATTTTATTTATTATATTTCAAGTGATTGTGAATTAAATGTGTATATGTAAGTGTGTGGTGTAAAAAGAAAATAAAAATAAAGAGGAAATGAATTGTTTTGGTTGTGGGACCCACCACCACTTCTTTTATTGTTTGGAAGGCCATTTAGGCCTCGCATTTTTCTCTCACTCTCCCATAGCTCTCTCCCCCTCCTCATTCTTCTAGAGTTTTCTTTTTTCTTTGCGGTTTCAAACTTCAAATCTTGATTCCTCTTTCACTACTTGGAATTTTTGGAAGCCGTTTATGGCAATTCGAAGAGCTCGGCGAGACCTTCACGTTGATGTAAACAATTTCTTGTTTGGCTAAGCTTGCAATTTCAAAAATTCTAGGGTATGAATTGGGGATTTTCATCTCTATTGAGGTAGGGGTGTTCTAATGCATGATTTCTTGTACTTTTGTGAGTTTTATAACTTGAATTGATGTATAGCATGTTCAATTGGTATAAATTTTCGTAAAAATTGCTTAAATGATAGGTATGGAATATATGTGACTAATTATTAGTTGTTTTATATTGTTTAAACATGCTTATATGAAGTTGAATCCATATCTTATATACTTGTTATGCAAAGTTATGTTAATTGAGAACTTTAGTTATGTAGTTTAGAAATTTGCTTTATATAGCATGTGTGAGAGTTTTATGGTGGAATTGATGAATTGAAGTATAAAACATTCCATGCATTCATTGGGATAGAAAAAGGGGAAAAATGTCTTTAAAACAAGTGAAATTGTTTTGGGAAAAGTTTTCTAAAAGTGTTTGCGAAAACCCGGACGCCTAGGAGGCGCCTAGTGGTCCGTGATGTTAGTATAGTTTAGAGGGGAGTATGGTTGAGCTAACTAGGCCGGATGCGACGCCTTGGAGGTGCCTTGTGGTCGTGGATGGTTAGCCAATCCTTCTTCCGTGATGCCTTGGGTCGGATTACACTAACGGTTTGGAAGTTGAAACGGAAATGTTTCGGATATGGGAAGCGATATTGCACTTCATTAGAATATACGGTGTGTATGTGTTTTGTAACAATCCAAACCCGTAGGTCCGAACCGTTATCCGGGTCATTAACCGGACCTGAGGTCAACTAGGGATAACATTATTCTTTCTTGCGTCAATACATATTATACGTGTCATTCCGGGTTTATAAAGAATAAGTAATAATAAATAAATAAATAATAAAATAAGATTATATCTACAAATTATGTCAAAACGATCTATTAACCCATCGAACCCTGTGGAGGAGCGTCGTCCGCCACCTGCCTTCCATGTCCTGAAAAATGTTAATGTAATGGGGTGAGCAAATTGCTCAGTAGGTAGCGCCTAAGACCCACCTCTTGTAGCCCCGTGAATCCAAATAATGAATAGAAATTGAGAATATGGATCATACTGGGCCGGGAAAGAATAAAACATCAAATCCAATTTCAAAATAACAATGCCGTGCCATGATATGTGATGCCATGAATGTCGCTCCCCATACGTAAAATCACTTCTATTCTTCACTTTTCAAACCGTTAATGTAACCCCTTTCGGTAACCCCTCAGCGCCGAGAGAAGATTGGCTACTGTATTTGACCCCTTGGTACCCCCGCGGCGTCATTTGGGGCCCAGATAGCTCAACTATGCTAGGGCGATCTCCCTAGTTCCCTCTAGGTTACATTAACTCCATGGACCGTTGGTACCCCCGTGGCGTCCGGGTTTTCATAAAAACTATTTTATCAAAATTTCTTTTCCCAAAAATCCCTTTCACTTTCATTTCAAAACACTTTCCCCTTTTCTTTCATGCCCAATGCTATGGATGCATGCCGTGTATTTTTCCAATAGTATAAAAATAAAGAAAGTCTACACTTTATAATTTAATATGCTTCTTCATAGAAATTTCTAGGAAAATAATAAACACCATGGCATTGAAATTAACATTTAGGCATGCTTCTCACATAATACCATCAACACGACTAAGCACAAACTTTTTATTACAACAATTATGTCACACCCTGACAATTCCAATAAAATCCTCAATTTATTCAAAATCAGATATATCAAAATACACCAGGATCACAAAAATTACCCCCTCTTTTATACAAAGTTAATTTCCTCAAATACACAAAAAAATCTCCAAATAAATAAAATAAATCCTCCAGGCCAACTCTTCCGCCTAAGCTCGAATCTACGATTCCCGTTCATCTTCGGTACCTGAAATTGGAGGGTGATGAGACAAAAAATCCCAGTAGGAAAAACCATAACAAGAATCTCATGGAGGTTTAATAAAACAGCTTCACAACATAAACATATACATTTAATACATATGCATTTAATTAAAAACATTTAATAAAAATATTAAAGCAAAACCTCCCCATGCCATTCAAAGTATAGAGAACCCTACACTAAAAAAGATTTATTTTCCACTGGATCACCAAGTCCCAAACGCCGGTCACATCTGCAACCTCTCGGCTCCTCTCTGTCTCCTTCTCAACTCATTCTTTATCTCGGCTTCCTCACTCTCTCTTTAAATTTTTTTCTATCTTCTGTATCATCACCAAAAGGCACAAGTCCAATTTTATAGGCAAAATCACTAACAAGCCCATGTGAAGCTCGCTCCTTTCCTTCCTTACAATATATTTTCAATTCATTACATTTCACTTCAAAATCTCACTCCAGACCAAACCCAAGTGAAGGAAACAAAGCAAGAAGAAAATTTTGGCCAAAAATAAATCTTCAGTGGGCCCCGCAAGCACACATATCATCACCACAATTTCATTATCATCACCCATCATTCGGCTGCCTTCTCTCTTATCTCTCCTATCACCATAACCCATATATATATAAATAAGTAATCAAATCACAAACCAACCCATTCACCACCTCCATCCATCAGATCATTTATATATATATATACTATATATATAGAAACTTATCATACATGCAAATCACTTCCAAGCCACGTGAATAGACCAGACCAAATCCCATCAACTTTGCCCAAAATAATTACAATTTCCTTCTTCATTAAGTTTGCCTTGCTGCCACCCTTTTGTTTCAACACACAATATATATATAATATAACAAAAATAAAAATTCAAAACCCACTAGTTTTTAATAAATAAATAAATAAAGACAGTCTAAAAAATCATAAAATAATTAAATTAAAATTTCAAAAATTCAGGTCATCACAAATTATATCATTTTCAAGGCAAACAATTTAAATAAGGCATGCTTCACAAGAAATTCTAAAAAAATTATACATGCTTACATACATCATTTTTAGCAATTAATAATACAATAGACATAGGAAATCAACACTTAAGCATGTTTTTCATACACATCAATTAATACATAAAAATCAAGAACTTTATACACCACAATAAAATCATTCTAGTATTAATTAACATCAATTAAATAAGTTAGCAACAATTAACAAGAAATTGACTCACAAAAGAACAAGAAATTGGGAATTAGAAACCCCTATCTCAATCTAAGCCAAAAGCCCCAATTTTCACCTCAAACCCTCAAAATGGGTCTCAATTTTCGGACTTCCTAGAGTGGCCAAAAGCTAAAATTGCTGGTATGGATTTGAAGATCTCGTCGCGGGCTTCAATTTGCTGCAAACGACATTTAAAAATTCCAAATAATGAAAGAGAAATCTAAGATCAAAGTTTTGATTGCAAAAGAAAAAGCAAGTTTGAGAGGAAATGAGAGAGAGTAACGGGACTGAAGAGAGATTAGAGACTAGAGATAGTCTCTTGACCATTAAAATTAAAGGAAGAGTGGGCCCTACTATTTTCTTTTTATTTTCCCTTTTCTTTTACTTTAATTTGCACCACACATAAACATATACACATAAAATAATGCACAACCTTATACAACACATTAAATAAAATAAATATGATGCAAATGGACCCAACTAAACTCCCCGGATGCAACAATTCCGGTAGCGGGTCCCACACGGGACCGTCCGGCCCGAAAAATAAAAAAATGCCAAAATGACCACCCTTGCATTTCAAAGAATCCTGGACGCAATGAAATGCCCTAATCAACTCTCGGATAACCGGCACACTCCACGGTGTTCGGTACGCAAAACGAGAAAAGACAAAAATACCCCTCCAATGACAAAATTCCAGAAAATGGTGAAAATCGGAAACATCACATGTTTGGGTGACAATTGTTATATACTTGTCATTGTAGTTGTTGCTATGTACCCCTATGCTATAATCCCGTTTTCTTTTACCTATTCCTTATGTGGATTCACGGGGTTATAAGAAGTGTGTCTTAGACACTTCCTACTTAGCGTTTAGTTCACCCCATTATCTTAATATTTTCAGGTTCGGGAAAAGAAATGGCGGACGACAGTTCACCATAGTCTTAGCTTGGATTAGAAGAATGTCTCTTTTGCTATCTTTTGTATTTAGGCCTCATTTTGTAAAGTGTTGACCCAAGATGTATCATTTTGGAATATGTGAAGTATTTAGATTCATTTTGTATATGGCCATTGGAGTAATGTAATTAAGTTTATTTACCCTAAATCATTTAGTGTATTTTATGTAACGTGTTATAAATTACGTTAACAATGTGGTTGTTGTTATTGTATTAGGTGTTGAAATGTATTTAAATATGAACGTGAGTAAAGTGGTGTTGGGTGATTGGTTATCAAAGTTGGTGTATCTCAATTTCCTTTAGATAGTAGCATTTTGAGTGTGGATAACCCAACTAGTCGAAGTGAAATCCCATACGTCGACCAGATGACCTGAATCAGTCGACATGAGTTTCCCACACATCAACCGATATCTTGGTAGTGAGTTTTTCTCTGTACACGTCTCAAACCAGTTGACATGTAACTCCCCATACGTCGACTGGTTCCTGAGTAATAAATGTCTGTGACTTATTTTCCCTATTTTGCCCTTGACCACTAACTCAAGTATATTGTCACACATTATAAAGCCCAGTAAAATACAATAATTATATTTTAACTACAGAAAAAACTATATTGCCCAGGACTTTATTTTATTTTTTTATGTGATACAAGTAAATGACTATTGTGTCCCTTTGAGTTTCAAACCATTTAAATTAAGGCAAAGTATCATCTTGTCCTTTTTGGACTTAAATTTGCTAATTTAACGTGAAACAACCATAATACCCTTGGATGATTTTGGGTCGTATAAGGACTCGTTAATGATCCAGATCCATTGGATTTGGGTCATTACATTTAAATTGTAAAAAGGCCATTTTATCCCTAGTATGTCCTAGGGTTCTGGTAAGGACCCGGTTAGTGATCCGGACCTTGGGTTTGTGTATTTACAAATTTAATCATTGATTACTTCTTCATCTCTTGGAATTTTTGAGTGTCGTTTGCGACAAATCAAAGAGCACAGCGAGATTTACTTATTGATACAAGCAATTCATCATTTGATACAAATTCAATCCTTGATTACTTCTCCATCCCTTGGAATTTTTGGATGCCGTTTGCGACAAATCAAATAGCACAGCAAGATTTACTCATTGCTACAAGCAATTCATCATTTGGGACACTCTCAGGATTTTGAATTTTTAGACCTATTTGGGGATTTTCTCATTTTTGGAGGTAGGGGTGTTCTAATCCATAACTTCTTGGATTTTTGTAAATTTTTCTCTTTAATTTGACCATAAGCATGCTTAATTTTAATTATCTTTTCCATTGCTATTGTGGTTGTATGTGCTCGAAATGACAAATGTGTTTTACATGCTAATTAGGTTATATACATGGCTATTTACATTATTGAGAAGAAGCATACTTAATTTTGGTATATTGTGTGTCTTATGAATTCTCGATTGCTATGGAAATTGATGTTGTGGTTGTGAAAGAATTGTTTGGAATTTCCTATCAAAAAAAATATATAATAATAATAATAAAATGATGATGATATAGAAGAGCATGGTCGTCGTCCTACCATAAGCTTAAAAGTGTGCAATTTAAGGCGAGGTCCAAGAGTTTTACATTTATAGAAGCCACTACTACCTTTCACTATAAATATAGCTAGGGTGAATAGGGATCGTCCCAAGGGATTGTGAGGATCGAATAATGTCGTGGAATCGCTATTAGGGCTAGTAGGTCGAGTGATCAAACAGTTGGTTGGTGGGTTGATTAGAGAGCAACTAGATTGAAATAAGTAATAATAAAATAATGCAACTAAGAGTAAGTAAGAGAGAGAAATCTTAGGGTTTAGAGATCACCACCAAGCAATGCATTTCTATACCATTGACAAGTGACTAATGAGGGCAAATGGTGTGTTGCAATATTGGTGTGTGTGTGTGTGTGTTTGGTTGATTCAACAAGCAAGGATGACTAGTTAAGCATGTATTGTCTAAACATCATGTGAATGGCATAATATATCTAAGTAATGAAGCATATATTGTCTAAACAACATGTGAAAGGTACAATAGATCAAAACAAATCATTAATCGTTTCATTAAGCTCACAATCCAAATATAACACAAGGTTAGAGACATATGCTACTTGCATTCAAAAGCATAGAACATCAAACAACAAGCATGGATTGTCCTCCCATTTAATACTACACTACAACTACACTACATCTACACTACTAGCATGAAAATAAACTATGGGAGAGGCACAATCCATTAAGGAATAAGTATGAACCATCAAGAAAATCATAAGAGCATTCTATTAAGCACTATGTTATGGCAATTTCTAAATCTATAGCATCAATACACATAGACATGCATCAATACCACAAAATCTAGAGACAAGCACATGAACATCTATTCTAGCATACATAGACATATGGATAGAATGAAATGATCAATTGGAAGGATTAAATCACATAAATCATTGAATAAATAAGATATATATATATATCAAAGTGTCAAAACATTAATTATAACACTAATCCCTCAATAATACACAAGATTAAGATATAGAAAGCATGCTTGGGGCTAACTCTAGCCCCAAGAGGATGTCTAGCCACTCATGGTGATGTTGCTCCAACCCTCAAGGGCTAACTCCATGGAAGAGATTTGCTCATTAGTTGATGAAGACTTCCAATGGTGTCTCTAGGCTCCTCCTCCTCTAAGCTTGCTCTTCAAAAGAATAAACCTTAGAATTGTATATTGGCTCCCTTTATAAAAAGCAATCCTTATCCTTATATAGGTAGGTCAAATGACACCCAAAATGAGCTGGGGTCATGCACACAATATTCCCTAATGATTTGATAAAGGACAACTTTCAAAGAGATGGAAATTTAACTTTTTCGCACTAGAGGAAGTTTGATCAATCGAACCTTGGACTTGGATCGATCGAACTAGCTGAGATCCATCGAACTTAGGCTAGATCGATCCAACTGGTTAAGCTTTTTGGGAAAAGACAAATCCGAGACATTTTGGGAGATATTTTTGGGAAAAGGACAAAAGTGGTTAGTGGGTGGTACAGCTGTGGATAGGATCAATCATTTGAATAAGGACAAAAGTGTTCGATCGATCGAACTTTTGACTTTTTGCTTTTAGGCCAAGACTTGGATCTATCTTGAAGTGCTAAGATCGATCATTGTTCGATCAATCGAACCTTGAAGTTGGATCGATCGAACTTTGCTGCTTCCCACCTTTGGCTTCATTTACTTCCTTCTTTCTCCACGTTGCTCCTTTCTTCGTTTAATCTCAGAATTGCTTCAATTAAGCTCTTATTTGGTTGAGTTAGCTTATTTTCGGGATAAGTGCCTGAAAATAGAAATAATACGAAATTAATCTAAAACGGTAAAGTAAGATAAATAAAGGTACTAGAATGCCTAAGCTTAAGGGGTTTAAATACGCACTTTTTAGCGCTCATCACACCCCCAAACTTAAATATTACTATTTCCTAGCAATGAATTAGAAAGTAAAGGAATGAAATGAACAACTATACAACTATGAACTAGAAAACAATAAATGGATAACGTTACTTTCGTAGGGAACACGATTGCACTTAGCATATGCAACAAGCCTTTTAAACCCCTAGGTTACCCCTAGTGGATGAGGGAAGTCTCGTGAGGGTTTCCAGAAATGGTACCCACAAACATTAAGCTCATTCTTTCAAAAGAGGCACCAATATTGCAAATAAGCATTAGGAGAAAACTGTCTCAAGTATGCAATGTTTCAAACATTTGTGAGCAATCTCCCAAAATTTCAACATCAAGTAAGCAAATATGTTCCTCCACACATCAAGAAAATGATCATGCAAATCAAAACAACTATAAAATCCTTTTTGAGTGGACCGGCATCAAATGTGTTGCTATCTAAGCCAACTAAAGAACTAATCACATCCTTACCCTCAAACTAGCACACAAATCTAGTACCAATCATCAAGACAAAAAGTGGACCTTTTATTAAAGTTTTATTATTCTAGGTGCGCTTATTCTTTTCACTCAATTTTTTTTTTATTTTTTTTTTATAGGATCAAAGATGGAAGCATAATGCAATGTGTTGATCTATTAAGCTTTCTAGTGATTCATGAGGTCGAACGTTAGGTCAATGACTCCCAAACCAGACGGCTTTCGGGCATTAGGCATCAAACACCCTTACGGACTTACAAGCTCAAATCAAATAGGCTATAAATCAAGACAACCTCCATCTAATCATTTCCCACTTCTCACCTTTTGGGAGAAGTCCTCACTTTTTATTGCTTTTGCAACTTCTTTTTTTTTTTTTTTTAATTCAATTATTAACCTAGAGTTTGAGCCCACCACCTTTCAGCGTGAGAAATTCAGTGTTTGATGAGACTAGAATCCCGGCTACTTAGTGAAAAGGGATTGTTATCCACCTTTATCAAGAATGAAAGCTTTCAATGCACTACTAGCCCAATTAAGATATAACCAAT